AGGAGGAGGAGGAGGAGGAGGAGGAGGAGGAGGAGGAGGAGGAGGAGACAACAACCGGGGTTCTTGGTGTTTCTGAGCTTGGTTGTCTTCTTGCAGATATTTCAATATCCAACTAGGGAGTATCATCAACAATTGAAGGGAGTGGAAATTGGAGGAGGAAGGGGAGAAGGAAGGAAGGAAGGAAGGAAGGAAGGAAGGAAGGAAGGAAGGAAGGTGGGGACTTGGTGCTGTGAGCTTTCTTGCTTTCTTGCAGACTTTTCATTACCCAACTTGGTAACATCCAAGACCTAGGACCATATTTCACCCTCCCACATTGGAAATCAACATTTTGAAACCTGCTGGGAAACAATGCAGGTTGATGAAGATTTTATTGTACTTATTGTACGAGCAGAGCACGACGTTGTAACAAATCCAAAGACAAGCCAGCCAACGTCCTGGCTTGTGTGTTAGCCTGAGACCCACCAGTTTGGGGTCGATGTTCCTAATTCTTTAATAGCTCAGATCTTGGAAGTGGAAATTTCACGCCCCTCTGGAACACCAGGCGGGAGAAAGAACTTGTCTCAAACCCAAAGAGATTGTTGGCTCTTCAAATCGAGTGTAACGAAGTTAGAAATCTAGCCTTCAACGAAGCAATCTAGCTTATCAAAGAGAAGGACAGGATAAGGGAAGAGGGAGATTTGGCTTGTTCTCCAAAGCACAGCGGAGGGTGGAGGATCATTGAAGAGAGATCCAACCTCACTATAGACAGGGAGAACAATGAATCAGTGGAACGGCTTCCCTCCGGAAGTTGTTAGGCGCTCCATCACTGGAGGTTTTCAAGAAGAGTTTAGACATCCATTTGTCCAGGGTGGCATAGGGTCTCTTGCTCTGAGCAGGGGGCTGGACTAGAAGACCTCCAAGATCCCTTCCAGCTCTGTTGTTCTGTATTCTGTAAATCAGTTGATCTCAAAAAGGAGAAAGAGCAAATTCTTCATGCTTTTTTGTGTTTTCCAGTCCCCTGGTGAGACTGAGCTTAAATTTCGGTTGAAGTTAGGTTTCAAGGACCAACACATAGATGTTACACTTTTTTCTCCTGATGTCTGTTGCTTAATTAAGTCCAGATAAATAAGGATGCCGGCCCATATAAACAAAAGCTCTTGAAAACAGCTGTTAAAGATGAGTAGGACTTCTTTTCAAGCCCTTTCAATTGTGTCCCTGGCCATTGTTGGCAAACCAAACCTCATTCAGCTGAGTTTATTATATTCTCACTATACTTTTTTTTTTTAAAAAATGTGAAGATTCCCCCTTCAGAATAATATAACTCATCCTTCTTCTCTCTGGTGTTCTTCAGATGCATTTGGGGGACGGGGGGCTCGAGGCTCGGGGGTTGGAGAAAGAGGAGGCTAATCACACAACTTGCATCATCTACACAATTACATTCTGATGGATGTGACATCACTGTGGGTTCCACTGGATGTTGTTGTTCAAACGTGCTGTATTGTGTCTCCAGTTCATCCGTTTGTTTTATTCTGGTTAGCAGCGCAGCATCAGAGATGCTGTGAATATAAAACAAATCGCATGGTGTCAATCTTTTATATATATATATATATATATATAAAAAAAAAGCAAAATGCCACTCACGCATCATCACAAAATCTCCAGAACTGTAAAGCCTACAAACTTGAAATTTGGCACCTATGTTCCTCTTGGCTTCTAGGGGCTCACTAAGAAAGGATTTTTCGAAATGACCATCAGAGCTATTAGTATTTCCTATATTATTATTATTAACACGCTCTGATGCTAAGGAGTTCTACTCCCCCTCCCCACCTGAAAAGAAATCTCTTCCAAATGCAAAACACAAGCAGAGGAGAGGAGTTTCAGTTTCATAGCACCAAGCAGCTTGAGTACAGAACAGTTGAGCTAAGCCACGCCCAGGCTCCTTGCTGTCTCCTTGCTCACACAGCAAATACTCTTTCAGTTTCCAAACAGCCCTCAACTCTCACACACTAACAGGACGCTAGCCAGATGAATACCGATGGATGCTGGTAGGCTGAGGCAGAATTTCCCCCCCTTGTTTTCCTCCCCAAAACTAAGCCCCACCACATAGTTTCGTAGTGAAGCACGGGTATCAAGTTAGTATAAAATAAATCTCACAAGAGAGGACCACTGGTTTCAAGGTTTCTGGCTCTCACCCCCATTAGTCTTCCTCCCCCCCAAAAAATAAAATAATATTGCAACTCCCCAGAGGGTCCCATCGTCTTTACCTGTCATTAGTTTATGTGAAAGTTCTCTGGAAGATTTCACATGAAAGGGTTATGGTTAGGCCACCTCGCCTTCTCTAAATGAGTAGAGCGATCTGCCATGGTCGTAAGTGTGAAAAACACTGATAAGTCACTTTTTTCAGTGTCGTTGTAACTTTGAACAGTCACTAAACAAATGGTTATAAGTTGGGTAATGAAACATCTGCAAGAAAACAAGTAAGCTCAAACCACCAAGGTCCCCACAGACCTCCCTTCCTTCCCTCCCATCCATGCATCTTCCTTCCTTCTTTCCTTCCTCCCTTCCTTTCCTCCGTCCCAACCACGCATCTTCCTCCCTTCCTCCCTCCTTTCCTTTCTTCCTTCCCTCCATCCCATCCATGCTCCTTCCTTCCTTTTTTCCTTCCTCCCTCCC